GAGGCTACTCGCAATGCTAAAGGTTTATTTCTTTCTCAAAATAAGTATGTGTCTGATCTGCTAGCCCGATTTCATCTCCACACTGTCAAGCCAGTTCGCACCCCGTTAGCCTCTCGCACTACTCTGTCTCTGTCTGATGGTGAGTTACTTTCGGAATCTACTGAGTATCGCAGCATGGTAGGTGCATTACAATATTTAACTTTGACACGGCCGGATATTACTTATGCAGTGCACTTAGTGTCTCAGTTCATGCATGCTCCTCGTACTACTCATCTTTTTGCAGTCAAAAGAATTTTCAGGTACTTGCAGGGAACAAAAGATCATGGTTTGTGGCTACAGCAGTCTAATCGGCCCACTTGTGTTGTTGCCTATTCTGATGCGGATTGGGCTGGTTGTCCTGATAGCTCTCGTTCCACAACCGGTTTTGCAGTATTTCTCGGTCCCAATTTAATTTCCTGGAAGACCAAAAAGCAACCCACGGTGTCCAAGTCATCCACTGAGGCTGAATATCGTGCTATTGCCTATACGGTTCAGGACACGCTTCACATTCGCTCTGTGTTGTTCGAGCTTGGATACCCGATTCAGGAGCCAGTGCATTTACTTTGTGATAATATTTCAGCTTCCTATTTGACTGCAAATCCTGTTCAGCATGCTCGTAGTAAACATATTCAGATTGACTACCATTTTGTTCGTGAACGAGTTGCTCATGGAGATTTGATCGTGCAGCATGTTCCTACTCATTTACAGTTGGCAGATATTTTTACTAAGAGTCTTCCTAGTCAGCGTTTTCATTTTTTAAAAGACAACCTGCGCGTTGTTTCTCCCGCACAGCTTGAGGGGGTGTAATAGAATTATAATAGGACTACTCTTGTACTTTACATTAAATTCCTACTAATATAAATATATCTGCCAGGGCTCTATAGAGAGTATCCGGTTCCATTATTCTCACACTACTGTCATTAGCATCTCACTTAGATTGGCCTTTACTGCAATTTGATGTCAAGAATGCTTTTCTCCACGGTGACTTGCATGAGGAGATCTACATGCACATTCCCCCAGGCTTCAATAAAACATCAATAAGTGCCTCTACACATGTATGCCGACTTAAAAAAGCCCTTTATGGTCTCAAGCAATCCCCCCGTGCTTGGTTTGACCGATTCACACAGGTTGTTCTTGCTGCCGGGTATAGTCAAAGCCAAGGGGATCATACTCTTTTTTACAAACACTCTCAACCAAATGGAATCACTATTCTTTTAGTATATGTGGATGACATCATTGTGACCGGTAGTGATCCAGTTGAGAAACAACGTCTTGAGGGGCAGCTGAAATCCCAATTCGAGATGAAGTCTCTTGGCCCTCTAAAATACTTTCTTGGAATTGAAGTTGCTCGCTCATCTGAAGGCATCTTTATCAGCCAACAAAAGTACATTACAGATTTGCTAAATGAGACTGGTAAGAGTGCTTGTCGACCCGTTACTGCACCTATGGATCCTAATCATAAGCTTGGACTTGCTACTGATGAACCCAAGGTTGATTCATCAATGTATCAGCGTTTGTGTGGCAAACTTATCTATCTCTCTCATACCAGACCTGACATTGCCTATGCGGTTAGTGTCCTCAGTCAGTTCATGCATGATCCAAGGAAACCGCATCTCGAAGCAGCCTATAGGGTTCTACACTACTTAAAAGGAAGTCCTGGACAGGGAATAGTATTCAGGAAGGGTGGGCAATTATCAGTCCAAGCCTTCACTGATGCAGATTATGGTGGCTCTCTCGTTGACCGCCGGTCAACTACTGGTTTCTGTGTTTTCCTAGCAGGAAATCTTGTGACATGGAGAAGCAAAAAACAGAATGTTGTGGCACGATCATCTGCTGAATCTGAGCTAAGAGCCCTTGCCCATGGCTTGTGTGAACTTCTATGGATCAGAATTATTCTCTCAGATTTACGAATCAGGTGGAAGGGACCAATGGAATTGATGTGTGATAATAAATCAGCAATCAGCATAGCTCATAATCTAGTCCAACATGATCGGACCAAGCATATTGAGATTGATCGGCACTTCATCAAAGAAAAGGTTGAAGGAGGTCTGATTGAACTAAGCTATACTCCCTCAGAGGATCAAGTTGCAGATGTGTTTACCAAACCTTTGCACAGTCCCAGGTTTCAGAGTCTTATTGTCAAGCTAGGCATGATGGATATCTACAAACCTAGCTTGAGCGGGAGTGTTGATAAAACGAAGAGACATCTTTAATTTAAGATTTTATTACTGTAATTATGAGTCTTTAGAGTTTCAGGTTGTAATTAATAGCTGTTGTCTTTTCAGTTCATAATCATTTATGTTTAGTATTCAGACAGTCACCTAGGGTACTGAATAGACTCTCTCAGGCTCCTATCTGTATAAATAGCTTATGTACTTCTTGTAAATGATTCATTGAAGAAGAAGAATATGCAGAAAACTTCAGTATTTTTGTGATGTTATCACTTTTTGAGAAGAGTGTTTCATGTAGAAGTAGTATAAATATATTTTATCAAAGATATGAGGTTAAGATCTGTGAGGCGCGCGCCTCGCCGCCTAGTGCCTCGCGCCTCGGGTAAATCAATGAAAACGCCTTGTGCCGCCTCGCGCCTTTTAAAACTAAGTTAATGATATTATGTGACGTAGACAATTTGACGTAAACATCTGTTCATAACAAGTAATTCTTCTTTCTCGCACTTCTAAATTTCAGTTTTATTTGTTTTAGCAAGCATCATCCTTCATGGCTTCATCTTCAGAATGTTAGTTGTCACATATGATTTTTTATCAACTTAGGCCCCTGTCAGGGTGGTTTTCTGTTTTTCTTTTTCAAAAACTGAAAACCAGATTATAGAGACAAGAAAAAGTGTTTTTGTATTCTCTGATGGTAGTTTTTAAAAAACATTATTTTATTTGATAAGTTTTGGTTTATTATGTCACTAAGGATAGGGACTCATGAAAACATTATTTTCTGTACTTTAGTACAGGGGTAAGGCTGTGTACATCCGACCTCCCTTACCCCACCGTAGGTGGGAGCCTTTGTGGCACTGTGGTAATGATGATGATGATTCGGTAGTTTTAAACGGATATTTTGACTTTGCATCCCGTTTTTTGGGTGATATTGAATTTAAGAAAAATTCTTAAATTCTTAGGGGAAATAGGGTGCACAAGTCTAAAAGTTTTGAAAATGAGGTGCAAAATCCAATATCACCCAAAAAGTGTGGCGCAAACTCAAAATTCGCCTTGTTGATTTGATTAGTTTTTGTTTATTATGGAGTTATTCTTGTGGCAAACATTCATTGGGCGGTGATCACATTTCTAACTTTGTGTCACCTACTGAATGCATTATGTATGTCACATAGTACTGACTCCCTAGAATGTCTGAATTTAATGTTCCTCAGCTAAGAAGCACGAAACTGTGCTTAACTCACTTTTTGTCTTTACAGGAAGTCCCAAGTGTATTGGAAATTCAGAAACTCCAAATTTTCGTTTGAGGTCCATTTAGTAATTAAAAGAATCAACAAACCAGTTTCCTTGATTATTTACTGTATGGGAAACCCTCTTTTTGCATTTTGATGGGATTTATTGTTGAAAGCTAGTGTTTTCTTATGGAAATTTTAAAGATGTTTTCTATAGAATTTCATCATATTGCTAGAAATGTATAGATTTACACTAGTATGTCAATATTTGATATATTTGAACTCACAAACTATTTTATCGTTGATTACTTGGGATATTTTTAAGGACTGTTTTAGTTTTAGACTAGAGCGATCCCACCTAAACCGACTAGACTTGGACAATAGTAAAATACACATAAATGATGAAATATACATTTACAATACCAGACCACTTCATACCAAACCATGTAAGTAGACCAAACTAGATTAGGCTAGAAAATTTCATTCCAATTATAAACATCCTTAGCAAGCCATATGAAAGGTATGTTTAATTGTACACACACACACACACACACACACATATATGGAAATTGTATGGTAACATGTACTAATTCCGCCCCCCTAACATTGGTACAAGAGGAGCTGGTGCACTTACCAAGAAAAGTGAGTTTATAGCGTTGATATGGAATTGATAATGTGAGAATAAAGTAAGAACGATTTAGAAACACACAAATATTACCAAAAATGATATGGGAAAATCTCAGTGGGATGGACCAAAAAAGAAAAATGAGACAATCTTAGCGGGACGAAGGGAGTATATGAAAAAATATTAATAAGTAATAACTATATCCTTGATCCTTATATTGTAATTTTATTTATATTCATGTGTTTTCTCCATTCTTTGTATCCTACTTAAAATGCCGCTTCCCCCGTATTGCGCTTCCCATTTCTCAGTGGGATGGACCAAGAAGGTAAAATGAGACAATCTTAGCGGGAAGGAGGGAGTATATGAACAAATACTAATAACTATATCCTTATATTTTAATTTTATTTATATTTATGTGTTTTCTCCATTCTCTGTATCCTACTTAAAATGCCGCTTCCCCCGTATTGCGCTTCCCATTTCTCAGTTTCACGTCCCTTCTACTTGGTTCTCTTATTATACAACTTACGTATGTAAGCTTTAAAATTATAAAACCAAAAACTGCGAACTTACAACCACCCAAAGGGGGTCCTCAAACGACAGACCTTTGTCTTATATAAAACACAAGAGATTTATGGATTTGCATGCAAGGTATTAATATAATTCATGATACACCTATTTCTAATTTCATGTGCATATTTTGGTCTTTTGGGAGAGTAGGGGGCCCACCCGTGTCCCTGATGGTTCAATACCCTTGTGTACCTACACTACTTCTATGCAAGAAGTTCGTCTAAACAAAGATACCACATATTGGAATACTTGCACATTTTATTTTTCTATTGCAATGTATTATTTGCATACATTTTCTATAGCAATGTATTTTTTGGATTCTAGTCTGTCTCACCTCTGACGTTGTGCAGCTTGCTATTATTTATAAAATTTTAGGATGGCGTGAAGATGGGAAAGTCCTTAGGGAATACACTCGAGCCGACTGATCTGGTTAATAGATTTGGATCTGATGCAGTCCGATATTTTTTCCTCAGGGAGGTGGAATTTGGTAATGATGGAGACTTCTCAGAGGAACGCTTCGTCAACATTACAAATGCACATCTTGCAAATACAGTTGGTACATTCATAACCCCTCAATCATTTCCGGTCACATTTAACGGAATATGTAGTGTTTCTTTGTTCCCTAATCTTGATTCAAAATTGCTTTTGCAGGAAATCTTCTAAGCCGTGTGCTTGGACTACTGAAGAAGAACTGCCAATCAACTTTGCCATTTGATTCAACTGTTGCTGCGGAAGGGAAGTCATTGAAAAAGACTGTTGAAAAACTGGTAATCCTATTCCAGCACTAGCCTTTTCTTTGGTGATCCAAAACAGTAAAATTAGTTCATCCCTTCACTTTATCATCAAACATTATATGGTTGACATGTTTAATTTGGGCAAATTTGTGTCATTTTGTTAGGGATCATTAACAGTCTGGGATTGGCCACACTGTCCCAATTATTGTGGGCTGGGGCTGTGCTGGGAAGTCATGGCCCTTTTCAGTTGGCCCTTTTCAAGGGCTTCCTGATTCCATTTGAAAATTTTCCCCTTTTAACATATTTTTTAGTGGGAATGGTATTTTGCTGTACCCCCTCACATACCTTCTATAATAGCATGTCAATTCCAGGAATCCCCTTAGACCCTTCAAACTTTGGGGTAGTAGCCAATCGAGCAATCCAAGGTCAGCTGCAGCTCCCTGGCTTGAGATTAAGTGTCCCAAGATATGCTATCTGTGACTGCCCAAAGCTGCACTTCTTTCTGGTGGTGTTATCATTGAGAAGTTGTAACACTTTCCTTAGATGTTCTCTGTGATCTTCCATGTTTTTACGATATACCAAATTACCAATATATCATGAAAACAACTAACCCAAATTTCCTTAAATATGGTTTAAGAACCTGATTCATGAGGGCTTGAAAGGTAGATGGAGCAATGGTGAGTCCAAAAGGCATCACTACATATTGATAGTGTCCATCACGTGTCCTGAAAGCTGTTTTGTGGATATCAGCGTCCTGCATTCTGCTTTGATTGCTTTAATGATATCCAGACTTCAAATCTAGTTTAGAAAAAACTTGAGTCTGTCCCAATTCATCCAACAATCCCTCAATGACTGGGATGAGGAATTTATCTGGAATTGTGATCTTATTTAGAGCTCTATAGTCTCCACACAACCTCCATCTTCCCTCCTTCCTTTTAATCAAAATGACTGGGCTGCTGTAAGGGCTATTGCTGGGCCTGATGATGCCAGTGTATAATAGGTCCTTCACTAGCCTTTTGATCCCATTTTTCTGATAATGAGAATATCGGGTTTAATGCACAAAACACCCCTGTGATATAGAAATTCGGTGCATTAGCCCTTGTGATTTAAAAAATGCGTCAAACCCCCTTATGTTTTAATTAATCGTGCGCAAAATCCCTTCTATTAACAAATTTAATTGTCAAATAAAAGAAAAATGATTAACATTTTTGTATGATTTAGAGATTTAGACATATTTACTAGCATATTCAATCAAAATATTACGAAAAGTGATTTTCAAATCATTAAATTTATTCATAAAGGGGGTTTTGTGCATGATTAATCAAAACACAAGGGGGTTTGACGCATTTTTTAAATCACAGGGGGGTAATGCGCTGAATTTTTATATCACGAGGGGGTTTGGTGCATTAAACCCTGAGAATATCTGTCTGTAGGGTCTGATGTTAGGGATATTTGCACCTTCTGGGTCTTCTGGGGGATAATTCCTGAGATGTCTTGAACACTTGAGGGAATCCAGCAAGGACTATTCCCCATTCCTCATCAGGTTAGAGATCCTTTCCCTTGTCATATGTTTGTTCTTCCCAATGTACGTAATAACCATCTCCTTGATTTTGCAGGTTCTTGACTATTGTTTTCTATGAAGCCTGGGTTCTGCTGAGGTTAGAATCCCCCATCAACTGCCTCTCTGGACCATCTTCCACCCACTTTATGCTCAGTTTTCTGAAATTAACCTATACATTTCCCAAACCTTGTAAGTGGTAAATACTAACCATTCCATATAAAAATCAAACCAGTTCCCCCAAGGTCCAACAAATAGAAGTCTTGAGTAATCACTAAGTCCTGCATCCAACTCTGTAATCCCTCACATGTCCTTTGGTGAGATATTTGCTCCCCAGTCCCCATGTCTACGTGTACTAATTCTTTATATGATATTTACATTTCTTCCATCAATTTCTGGGATTTGAAATTATGAGTAGCTCCAGAATCCAGGAGTATCAGAAAATGTTTTCATCCTTTTGGTGTCTTCAACTGTCCTTGTACCTTGAAAGTTTTGTTGGAGGTGAGTCCATCCTTACTAAGGGCAGATAAGTGTAAGTGTTTCATTTCTCCCTCTGGCTTAGTTTCTTCTGCTTCAGATAGCTGTATGGTGTCATCATCATCATCATCTTCTTCTTCTTCCATGATTTCCAGTAAAACAATATGGTAATGTTTCAGCTTACAGATGTGCTCTTTGTTCCATTGTCTCCACACTTAAAAGTTAAAACATAAGCCTCTTCTACTTCTCTCCTGTAACTTAGCCTAGGATAGTTTCTGTCCTCCTCTCCAAGTCTGGTATGACCCTATGGTCTCCTCCCCTTTAGCTTCTGAAGTCTCTCCAAGTCTGGTATGACCCCATGGTTACCAGCGTTTGTTAGAGTCACAGGAAGTCGGCCTCTTAATAATAATAGTAGTAGTATTAGCTATTATGACAAAGTGTATTCTAGAAGAAAAGAGAATAATAAGTAGCTGGGAGGGGTCAGGTGGACTTATATAAATAGATAGCTACTGGAGGAATAAGGCAGGCTGTTATTTGGTAGTTGGCTGGGACTGGAGAGTTGACATCTCTTTAACTGTCAATCCATTTTCTCTCTCTATTCTGTTCATCGTAATACCTGCTATTCTCTACTGTTCATCTTCTTTCCTTAGCTAGATACTTAACATTGGTGTCAGAGCAATGATCTTGTTACCTGTACATGGTCGCCACAAGAGGAACGATGGAAGCGCGATTGGAAAATCTGGAACGCGAGCTGGAGAGAAGTCGTATTGAAGCAATGCACAATCGTGAACGTGACCGCGAAGAGATGCACGAAGAAGCCCAGGGTACTCGCGACGAGTTACGTGAGTTAAAGAGAGTCAGTCACACGGAAGATTAAACACGACAAAAAGAAGTAAGAGACATGACAGTTGCGAATCTTCTTCATCTTCAGGTAATCGTCACTCTTCATCATCTAAGCGAAATGATGATTATAGAAAATGGATGGAGAAATCTGGAAGGAAAGTAGATTTACCACTCTTTAATGGACATGATGCTTATGGATGGATAGTTAGGGTGGAGCGTTTCTTAAAAATGAATCATATAGAGGAAGATGATAAAGTAGAACTGATTACTTTTAGCAATGGAAGGAAAGGCTCTAAACTGGTTTCAGTGGTGGGAAGAACACACTGAGGTGAGAAATTGGGAATCATTTAAATCTGCTTTGACTCGTAGATTCCAACCTGGATTAGTACAGGATCGTTATGGCCCACTATTAAGTGTAACACAGTTTCATAGGCAATTTCCTGACTTCCACCTTGAGGACAAGGTGGCAGTTCCAGGGGGAGTGATGTTAGAGTCACAGGAAGTCAACCTCTTAATAATAATAATAGTATTTGCTATTATGTCAAAGTGTATTCTAGAAGAAAAGGGAATAATAAGTAGCTGGGAGTTATAAATAGGGATCGGGTGGACTTCTATAAATAGATAGCTACTGGAGGAATAAGGCAGCCTGTTGTTGGTAGTTGGCTGGGACTGGAGAGTTGACATCTCTTTAACTGTCAAGCCATTTTCTCTCTCTATTCTGTTAATCGGAATACCTGCTATTCTCTATTGTTCATCTTTGTTCCTACTTTCTCCTAGAAATCTCTCAGTAATTAGCTAGATACTTATCAGCGTTTATTTTCCATTTAAGTCTCTCCACCCAATTATGTAGTTTGCCCATCACTCCTCCCTTGTCCGTCCATCCTCTTTTGTCCTCTTCTCTGTGTCCTACTATAATAGCAGAATTTTTTTCTTCCAAAACAGGGCCCAGTCCATTAGCTCAACCAAATTCCCCGAATGATATAATTTCAACTCAGCTCTAATATCTTCCTTGAATCCGTTCACAAAAATGCTTTTAAGCATCTCAGAATCAGTGTTTCTCATGGGGGCTACCACAAACTCAAAGTTTTCTCTGTGCCCCATAACAAACCCCGGCTGTTTTCCACTCAACATTAATCCAAATGAGTTTTGGACCAAATCCGGTTGGACGCGTCTGATCAATGCATTTTAAAATGGCTCCCAGCTACGCTCTTCCGATTTGACCCTCCCACCATTGAAACCAATTCAGTGCTTTGTCTTCCATCGCCATTACCACCACTTCAACTCGATCATCTTCAGCCACATTGTTAAACTTAAAATATCTCTCAATCGTATAATCCATCCATACGCATCCTCTCCGTTAAACACAAGAAGACCAACTTTCTTTCCAGTCCAAATGTGAGTTTTGTTATTACTCATATCTTGTCGGGAGGAAGTTGATCAGAAGTTACCAGAATTACCTCACGAAGCGTCAAAGGTACAAGTCACATCATGTGGTCTTCGCCTTGGCGTCCTCAATCTACCCCTCTAGCGATGTCGATCCTGGTGCAACATGAGGTTCCGCAGCTAATCCACCATGTTGTGCATATCATGGACATTTCTCTTGACATTTTCCAGTCGGTTTACCTTTTCTGCTCTTGTGAAGGACATTCACTACTCTCCAGGATCATTGCTCTGATACCAAATGATAAATAATAGGCTAACAAATTGAAAATTATGAAACAACAAGGATCAATGGTGAAATGTAAGGAAAGAGCATAGATCAGGCAATTCGAGAGTGCCTTGCTCTTCAAAATTCTAACAGACTACAGGATTGCCTAACCTTCTCTTTCACCCTTTCTATTTATTCCCTGCACTACCTTAGCCAGATCAGCCCGTTTGTTACTCTCCCTTTCTCTTCTATTTATTTTTTGTTTCTCCCCTGCTTTGTACACACTTTAGAAAAGTCCTATTGGAATTAATTATAAGTTTGTCCTTATTCCTATCATCCTGCTCATTTAGGATAAATTATGGTGTGCCGGGCTTTTGTAATAAAGTTATGAGTTTGGCTGGTCTATTGAGTTGGTTTAATGAACTGGTCCAGTCAAGGTAGTCAAACTCGCGAGCCGCAGTCAAGGCATAGATGCTTGGGGTGATGTTATACTGGGCAGACATGAGAACAAATACAAAACTTTAAGCCCTGCAGGTTTATTCCACCCAGTATGTATTCCTAATCAAGTTTGGGCTGACATTAACATGGATTTCATTGGGGGACTACCTTGGGCATACATAAAAGACACTTTACAGGTAGTGGTGGACAAGCTAACTAAATTTGAACACTTCATAGCATTATCATATCCGTATATTGCCAAGGGGTGGCTGAAATCTTCATATAGGAAGTGGTCAGGTTACATGGATTCCCTAAGATCATTGTGTCTCACAGAGATAATGTTCTTCTGAATACTTTCTGGACAGAACTAATCAAACTAGTAGGTGCTCAACTGAAGTACAACACTGCCTACCACCCCCAAACAGATAGTCAAATTGAAATTACTAACAGGTGTGTAGAGACCTATTTAAGGTGTACTACAGGCAACAAACCTAAACAATGGCATATATGACTCCTTTGATCTGAATATTGGTATAGCACCAATTACCATGTTTCTATAAATAATACACCCTATAAAGCTTTATATGGACAAGTCCCTTCATCTCTAAAAGAATTTAAAAAAAAACTGGTCATTGCACAAAATAAAATGAAACAACAGACAAATAAACACAGAAGAGATGTACAATTGGAAGTCGGTGACTTAGACTACCTCAAGATGCAACCCTATAAACTAAGGAGCCTAGCCAAGAAGATCAATTTGAAGCTAAATCCCTGATTCTATGGACCTTTTGAGGACGGTGAGAAGGTGAATCCAAATATTCAATAGCTTACAAGCTGTTCAGTACATACTATATTTTACATTTTCTTATTAATGAAAACCTTGTCTCTTAACACATCCTGTCAGCCCCCCCCCCCCCCCCCCCACACACACACACACACAAAGTGTATATTTGAGGAATAGGAACTACATGTCACACCAGAGAAGGTGCTGGGAAGTAGGGAAATTCTAGTTCACTGGAAGCAGCTGCCAGATTTTGAAGACTCATGGGAATCCCTCCAATTCCAAAAGCAATTTCATGACTTCCACCTTGAGGGCAGGTAATCAAAGGGGGAGTGATGATTGAGATCTGGACAATAACCAAAAGAATATTAATAATAGTAATTTTATTTATTATGATATACAAGAGAAAAGGGCCGGAACATGTAACTAAATAGCTAAGGGGCCCCCCAGTAGGGGATATTATTAATACGAACAGAGGAGGGAGAGAAATGTAGACAAGTATTATGTTATTTGGTTGGGCCTAGGGGAGAGACACTCGAAATTGTCTCTACCTTACTTCCTGTTCACGCTATTTTACTCAGTCCTCTGTATCTCTCTAAGGATCTCTAAGATCTTCTCAGAATCCATTTGCTTAATATACATTCAATTCTACTGTGTGCCTGTTACCTAACAAAGTGTAGCTATTTTCTTTTTGTATGAGGGTTCTAATTCTAATGGGGGTTGGGGCTTCAGATCCCACCAAAGCTTAGAAAGTAATTCACTTTCTGTGGAAAGCACCAAACGCCCCCTGCATCTAGACCCTTAGACTTAGGGCTGGATTCGGTTCGGGACCCGAACTGATTCATCATATCTGCAAACCAAACCGATGTATCGGTTTGCCAAATTTCTAAAACCAGAACCGAACCGTTCATTGAACGGGTACCGATTTGTGGTACCCAATTATTCGGTTCGGTTTACCATAACCACAATAAGCTGATTCTAATTAGGAATAAATACATTTGAACTAATATTCAATGGAATGAAGCACATAGCACGCCAATAACTGAGTCCAACAAGCCAAAGGTAGCTTGGCAGGTCTCCAGCTACACTAATACTTGGGAGCATATCTGTGTTATATAGAAATTGTTTTGGGTAGAAAGCTTCTCTTTGTCCGGTGTGGGATAAGTAGTATAGCAAAGAAGATGTTAATATCCAAAACAAAAATCCATCCATGGATTGGAATCGACCCTTTGACGCCTCAGTTTGGAGAAGCGCTGGACGACCAACTCTGCCACACTCATGTTATGTTCATTTGATACTTCATACTATACTATACCTTTACCGAACGACATTAATTATTATTATTACTATTAACAATTATTATTATTAATATAAAAATGTTGGTTCGGTTCGGTTCAAACCGATTTTTTGTGTATACAACCCGAATCCGAACCAATATTTTTCGGGTCCCGATTTTTGGGTCCCAGTTTCTATCGGTTCGGTTATTTACGGTTCGGTTTTCGGTTTCTCGGTCTCAAATGCCAGCCTTACTTAGACTTGCTCCTGTCTAATGTAATTCATATTTGACTGAACTAATACTATAAGGTAATCAAAGCCATAAGTGATCCTGATATGTTTGTTTCATTTGTAGGTTCAGAAGGCACATAGCCATTATGAGAAGCTTGAACTCTCATCAGCGTGTGAGGCAGTTATAGAGATTGGTAATGCAGGAAATTCCTTTATTGATAAACAAGCACCATGGTCCCTTTTCAAGCAAGGTGGTGTAGATTTTGAAATTGCCGCCAAGGTATCCTTTCATCAACTCATTTACTATCTAGATATGGAAGAAATGATTATCCAAATTGAAACTGGGTGAAACCCCCATATAATCCACTTAACTTGACCTGTGGGATCAATCTAGCTCATCGGGTTCTAATCAAACTAGTTGGGCATACTAGGTGAGTATCAAGCCCAATTGATCCCTTTGATGAAGATGCCAAAAAGAAGGCTTAGTGGACACATATTGCCCAATGCTCTGGTGTGTTTAATAGGTTCAATTAGAAGTGAGTGGCTCAATGGGGCCAAAAAGCTAAGTTTAGGGTCTTATAAATAGTTTGGGCCTCATAAAGGGCACCCTTCACTCAAAATGACAAGTTTGCATTATGTCAAACCATACAAAATTCTTCTTACAACTGATGAAAAAGAAGCAGAATTATCATTATTGTGCTCCATAATATTTTGCTTTTAAAATGTACTCACCCTCTTGTTTTTGTTCAAGGATCTCGTAGTTGTGCTGGAATTAGTGAGAATCATAGCAGTCGCTTTATCTCCTGTTACTCCAAGCTTAAGCTTGAGGATGTATACCCAACTTGGTTACACAAAAGACCAGTTCCACGCTGTGACTTGGGTATTCTCTTACATTCTTGATTTGATATACTCTCAGCCCATTTGGTAATGCTTAAAATGGATGAAGTTAATGAGTGTTGAGATTGCTGAAGTTATGGATACACTTGCTAATTTATCTATACCAGAAATAAAGCAGGTTTTAGAAATATATTTGCACAAAGATTCATGTGCTACTTTTTTCATCATGGAGCCAGCGTAGTGATAATAGTTGATGGACAAATTTGGCTGATATGTAAAAAGTAAAGTCTTCCAAATGACCTCTTACTGTTTCAGAATTAACAGAGCTTGTTGTTCCAGAGTCATACTGCTTGGGGCGGGCTGAAGGGAGGTCAAGTTATGGCTGAACCACAACCAGTGTTTGCAAGGATTGAAGATCGAAGCCAGCAAGATCATACGGGTGGAGCATCTAAGAAAGCTAGCAAGAAAACAGGGAAATTTTCCTCCAAAGACTAAACGAGTGGTAGAACACCCTCGTATGGGTGGATCCAGGAATGAGAACCGGGGTGGTCTAAATAGAACTGGGGTGGATCCAGGAATGTGATTAGTTTGTACTTCTTTATCTATGACTAGTGTAGTATAGTTATCTTCCATTATTTAATAGTTGCAACAGTTTCACTTTGATTGTCATTATATTTAATTACATATTACTAAACATTATAAAAAGTTAATATTTTGGAAATTCACATAAAAAGAAATTTAATAATATTTTATACATAATAATTTGATTACATGTATTAATAGAAAGTCTTTCTCAATGTAAGATGTGTCAATAGTGCTAAAATCACAGTGCTGTAACTATCAAAACGGAAGAAGTATTATACTAGAGGCTAATTAGAATATTATATGATAAGCGTTATAAGTAATTATAAGTATTTATTGAAGAAAAGAAGAGAAACTGGACAATTCAAATATCTTGAGTTTAGCCAAAATGAATTTTAAAGGTCAAACCTGACAGTCTGACACTTCTTTGGTAAAAAACAGGTCAAAAATGACAAAAACAATTAGTATTTGTGTGGTCATCCAAAGTCCAAACCAGCACTAGAATTGCATTTCTTAGGGAGAACGTGACCGGTTCGATGCCAAATAGGGGTGGACTCATCGGTTCGGTTTGGCCTGGCCCGGGGCTTGGTGGGTCCATTGGTTCGGTTTGGCCTGGCCCGGGTGATGGGCGGTCCGGGCTCGGGCCCTGCTTTAGGTGAACCGGCCCGGCTAGTTCGGGTCCTGTCTGGGTCGGATTTTATTTTTTATTTTGAATTTTTTTAAATTTTGGATTGGATTAGGTATTTTGGGCCATTTGAGGTGGTTTGGGGTGGTTTGGGATTGAGGGGGAGGGCTAGGGGGTTAAATAGGAGAACCAAAATTAAAAAAAAAACCGGCCCAGCCCGGCCCGGTTTGGCCCGGAACCGGAACCGGCCACCGGCGGTTCGGGCTCGGGCCCCAGTTTTCTGGCTCGAGGCCCGGCCGGGCCCAGGCCCGAACCAGGCCCGAACCAGCCCGAGTCCAGCCCTAATGCCAAACCCACCCTAAACTAGTGCTGGACTTGGGCCGGTTCGGGCTTAGGTCGGGCCTAGGCCCGATCGGGCCGCCGGTTAGGAATTGTTGGGCCCGGGTAGCCACCGGGTCCGGGCCTTGGGCCTCTAACATTTTTTTCCTTTTTTCTAATTACCCCATGATCCCCCCCCCAACCCCCAAACAACTCCAAATGGTCCAAAATACCTAGCCCAACCCGGGGATTTTAAAAAAAAAATTGAAAAAAAAGCCTGGAACTGGGCCCAGACCGGCTGGGCCCGTTCATGGTTTGGGTGACCCGAGCCCGGACCGGAAACCCCTCGGGTCGGGCCTACCCGGGCCGGTCACTGGCCGGGCCACCGGTTCGGGCCGGGCCAGAACAGTGCCAGACTGCCGGTCCCGGGCCGGTTCCGGGTCGGGCCACCCGGCCCGAGTCCACCGCTACCCTAAACCATCGCCAGACCTACTAAAAATGTCATTTTAGGGCAAGAACAAGAAAAATGGACTATGGGGTGTTGAATATCTTGCAGAAGAAGCAATAAATAACTTGTATTAAACTCTAGTGAATGTTTTGGTAATTCTGATACCTTGGTCGTTTTGTCAAATATTCACACACTCAGTTGAACATCCCTGCACGGCTGCACATTACATCAATTTAATATTTTAATTTGGACTTTATAAAACAAGTGTTTCCATGTAGTTCGACTTTGTATTTACTTGTACTTTCAGGTTAAGCTCGGCCAACCATTTGTTATCATCATTATACTTATTACGATGTGTAATATCTAGTCACATACTTAATTACTCGCTAAGGGACTAAACAAGTAAATATTAATACACCGAACTCATAATTAGAAAAATAAGATCTTACAAGTTACAACTTTAATAGTTAATGAGTTTGAAATATGCAAGCACAAATCATATGCATGAGTGTACTAGAGATTTTTTCAAAACTTCAAAAGTCCCCCCACAGGCCCACGACACGTGCAATGGGATGAAATCGTTTTAAAACGAATATCAATCTGGCGCATTTTTACGATGCTCATGGTTTAGTTGTGGAAGGGGATCAACGAGCTAATTCAACAACATTTATGTCTGTGTTGCAATGAACATGTTAGCACAAACCTTTATTTCTTTGGATACAATAATGAAATTAATTGTTATTGTAGAAGCACGCACCATGTCTTCTAGGTAAAAAATCCTCTTAACTATAAGATCATATTTTAGTGAATGTTTCTTATGTCATTTCAATCGCTCTAACTGTTATATGGTAAATATTTTGCCAAATATTTAGTACAAAATAAACTTTTACGCTTTTGTTGTTGTATAAATACTTTGTATATTTTTAGGAAAAGATGTTCTTAATAGCATTAAAGGATTACTTGAACACGATTGGAAATCAAAGAAATATCAATGAACATGCATAAAAACAAGAAAATCAACCAAAGTCGTGCAATGAATTACCACACGATTGGTTGTTTACAGAAAATATTGTATACACTTTGAAGAGTGGAACACATCTCTTTATGCGGTGATCCAAACATACGATTCCACGACACAAATATTCTATCTGGGATCTAGAATCTAGATTACTATATTTTATTGAAACTTCGTGTCATTATATCCCTCATCAATTTAGTAGTGTTCATCGTCGTCCAAGATAAAATCCTGAAGTTTTTTCTAAAACTTCAAGATGCTATGAGTCATAGTTTAGTTACTATCATTTAGGTATGCACGATGTGAGCAAATTACGCTCATTGCGGAAGCTATACCAGAACGAGCATGTTGCGTGATACTAACAATGGTAGAATCTAAGGGCTTTTTCCTTCAATATTACCAAATTGCGTGATACTGATAATGGTAAAATCTAAGGGCTTTTTCCTTCAATATTTCGATAATGTCACTGTCATTTTTTATGTCACTACCATATTTTTATGTCACTATTAGATTTTTATGTCATTGTTCGGATGCCACTGTTGCCACCGCCCGTGTGACTACCGCCGGTGCCGCCAGCCGCTGCGGGCTACAGTGACACAGTGAACCTGCCATAGTGAACACTGCTTCAATGACAGCGCCACAGTGACACTGCTTCAGTGACACCACCACAGTGACTTAAGTCAAATACAGTTACTATACAATTTTCAGACAAATCTGCCACCGATATCACTGCCTGCAACCCTGCCGTCACCGCCGCCTTGCCGACACGTCCGTTTCTTGATATACCACCCATTGCCCCTACCCTTCCCAATCCTCAGCCACAAATCCTCAACCCCAACCTGTGTCCCATCCAAAGCCCTTTATTGCTTTGGATGCAATAATGAACTTAATTGCTATTGTAGAAGCACACACCATGTCTTCTAGATGAAAAGTCCACTTAGCTATAAGATCATAATTCAACATATTTGAGTGAATGTTTCTTGTGGCATTTCATTCTCTCTAAGCGTTACTATGTTAAGACCTGAGGTTCCATCCTAAAAAGTAAAACTGATAGGAGGAGTAGTCCAAAGCCTTATATAGTGTTTTAATTGTTTTAGGGGTAAGGCTCAAATTGGACACTATGGTTTCATCAGAATCTCATATTTGACACTAAGGTTTTAAATGGACCAAATTAGACACTATGGTTTCATATGTATCTCATATTGGACACTGAAGTTTCATAATTCAATATAAGTGAGTGTCCAATTTGATCTTTATCCAATATAAGTGAGTGTCCAAAACCTATGAATTATGAAACTTTAGTATCTAATATGAGATAAATATGAAACCATAGTGTCTAATTTGATCCATTTGAAACCTTAGTGTCAAATATGAGATTCTGATGAAATCATAGTGTCCAATTTGAGCCTTATCCCATTGTTTTATAGCTTTCCGGTGTGGGACAAATGCTTCAACACGCCCCCTCAGCCCGAACCGGGCTGGACAATATCGGGATGTATAAACGGGCCAAACAAACCCTTAACAAGCCAGCCTTAATCATGGTTGCTAAACAAGCCGTCAAACCACAACCGAAATTGGCTCTAATACCATGTTAAGACCCGGAGTTCCATCCTAAAAAGTCAACCTAATAGGAGGAGTAGCACAAAGCCTTATATAGTGCTTTAATTATTTTATAGCTTTCCGGTGTGGGACAAATGCTTCAACATACTAGTATATGGTAAATGTTTTGTCAAATATTTAGTACAAAATAGACTTTTATGCTTTTAGTATTGTATAAATACTTGGTATATTTTTAGGAAAAGAAGTTCTTAGTAGCATTAAAAGATTATTTGAACACGGATGGAATTTCCTTATTAGTAATAAAAAATAAAAAAATCAGATTTTGAAAATTTAAATTGATATAAATTTAAAAATGTTTTTCACAATTTTATTTATATTACAATTTGGAATTTCTTTATATACCTTTTTTTTTTGACATCTTACTTCTGATATACTTCACACTTTTCTTTGATATAGAAATCGAAAATGTGATACATGTATTTCATTAAGTATGATAAGACTCTAGTAATTTTTTTTATTTAATTAAATAGATGTTCTGCCTAAAATATAACTTAAATAATATCACCCGTCCCACTAAAATTATCATATCTTTCCTTTTTGACCCATTCCATTAACACTGTATCAGAACATATTTGATAACGTTTGTGTGACTCGAAATTGTCCTTCATTAAATGAAATGCAAGTATCAGGGTTAGAACTCCATTCACTATCTTCCAACTTGTAATTAAAGTCCAATTTACATAATCTCAGTTAACTCTCCGGCCGATAATGGAGCCCTCATGGATGAAGTGTCTTCTTTTAATAAATTAAAAGATCCAACCCATGATGGGACACTCATGGGTAGACTTTGTACTCGTGCACATCAGAAATTCAACCTAACACAAATGAGCCATAACCTCCATCTGTAGCTTCCACAAGCCGCTTAGAGTTTTGAACTTTAATCAATATTCCAACTTTTCAACCATTCAAGGAACTGTGCTACTCTTATTATTATTACTCCACCCGTCCCTTAAAACTTTGTCAACTTTAATTTTTTGGATGTCCCACTAACTTTGCAACTTTCTCTTTTAAAAAAAGAATTTTTGGTTGCAGTTAATTCTCTCTCCCCTGCACAAATCTAAACACACAGTTTTTACTTTATTAATTCTCGTATCGATCAAACTTACCAAAATTTTAGGGGAGTATTTACTTTTGACACTATTAAACACCTGCTAAGAAAGGTATATGGGGAGGTGTGCGCAAGTACGGTAGAAAACAACTCGTGACAGTAAAAACCACGTGTGATCCAGTTGGCACACCACTTACGTGTCTGCTGCCCGACCTTATCCGGTTTCATTTTACTTTTTTCTCGAAACAATAATAAATCACATACGGACTACGGAACAATGTTTTTTCTGCTCCGTAGTTTTCTATGAAAAAATTGTTGGATTTTCAGAGCATTGACAGCAAGACAAGGATGAAGACTTGTAGTGAGAGAGAGGGAAGCCCTAGATATTTCGGTCTGACTGGACTGTAGAGGAGAATGCTTTTGGTATTTTGACAAAAAACGGTTCGTATAATATTGACAAGGTTTGTTTTGGCTTCAGATTTGGTTTGTCTTGTTTTAGCATTTGTTCTTGTTCGTTTAATGATTCAGTTGTTAACTACCCACTTCTTTGCTGCTAGCTATAACAGTGTAATATCTGAAATCCAGTTATATATAAAGATTGAATCTTTACTATGCATCACCAAATGGGTTTCTGTTTGGTTTCTAGGATCTAGTTTGTTCATCTTCTTACCCTGTTCTTTATTTCAGATCTTTGTCTAACTGTACTTGATTTTGCTGCAAAGAAACAGCTTATTGGATTTGGTTCACCTTGGTTTGACTGTTCTTTTGATTTTGCTACATATAAGAAGAAGCCGTATTTTTCATTTTGTGGAGCTTGAATCGTCTTCATCTTAATACAAAAAAACTCTGGTCAAGATGATGTCCAAATCGTATACCAACTTATTAGATCTAGCCTCCGGGAATTTTCCTGCTATGGGGAAAGAAAAGAGACGCCTTCCAAGGGTAATGACGGTGGCTGGAGTGATTTCTGAGCTGGATGATGATCAAGCCAGTAGTGTTGCTTCCGATGCTCCTTCGTCTCTAGCCGTTGAGCGTGTGATAATTGTAGCCAATCAGCTCCCTGTAAAAGCCAAACGCAGGCCGGATAATAAGGGGTGGAGTTTTAGTTGGGATGATGATTCTTTACAGTTGCACATGAAAGACGGGTTGCCAGATGAGATGGAGGTTATATATGTGGGTTCTTTAAGGGTCGAAGTTGATCCGAATGAGCAAGACGACGTTTCTCAGTTGCTCCTAGACAGGTTCAAATGTGTCCCAGCTTTTCTTCCGCCAGACATTTTGGGCAAGTACTACCATGGGTTCTGCAAACAACATTTGTGGCCCCACTTCCATTACATGCTCCCTTTCTCTGCCAGCCATGGCGGTCGGTTTGACCGGTCATGGTGGGAGGCCTATGTAGCGGCTAATAAGATTTTCTCTCAAAAGGTCATAGAGGTAATTAACCCTGAGGATGACTACATTTGGATCCACGACTACCATCTCATGGTTTTGCCAACCATACTGCGTAGGCGTTTCAACCGGTTAAGGATGGGGTTTTTCCTGCACAGCCCGTTCCCGTCATCAGAGATTTACCGCACACTACCCGTCCGGGAGGAAATTCTGAAAGCACTGTTGAACTCTGATCTGATCGGCTTCCATACGTTTGACTACGCCCGCCACTTCCTCTCTTGTTGCAGCCGGATGTTAGGTTTGGAGTATCAGTCCAAACGAGGGTATATCGGGTTAGAGTACTACGGCCGGACCATCGGGATCAAAATCATGCCCGTGGGCATCCACATGGGTCAGTTTGAATCCGTGTTACAGCTCCCGGATAAAGAATGGAGGGTAGAGGAGCTGAAACAACAGTTTGAGGGTAAGACGGTCATTCTGGGTGTCGATGATATGGATATTTTTAAAGGGATCGATCTGAAACTTTTGGCAATGGAACAGATGCTATTGCAGCACCCAAAGTGGCAGGGAAGAGCGGTTTTAGTACAAATCGTCAACCCCGCCCGGGGGAAGGGGAAGGATCTTGAGGAAATACAAGAAGAAATAAAAACAAGTGTGAAAAGAATCAATGAGCGGTTTAGCCGGCCCGGGTATCAACCGGTTGTATTCATAGACCGGTCTGTTTCTCTTAGTGAACGGGTCGCCTACTATACCATTGCGGAGTGTGTGGCAGTTACAGCCGTGAGGGACGGTTTGAATCTCACTCCGTACGAATACATTGTCTGTAGACAAGGAGGAGCCCCAAAGAAGAGTATGTTAGTGGTGTCTGAGTTCATTGGGTGTTCGCCGTCCCTTAGTGGGGCGTTAAGGGTCAACCCATGGAATGTCGAAGCTACAGCCGAAGCGTTGAACGATGCGATCTCAATGACCGATGTGGAGAAGCAGCTGCGTCATGAGAAGCATTACAAGTACGTCAGCACGCACGATGTGGCGTATTGGTCTAGAAGCTTCTTCCAGGATCTGGAGAGGAGTTGCAAAGACCATTTCAGGCAACGGTGTTGGGGAATCGGTCTGAGTTTTGGGTTCAGGGTGGTGGCGCTCGACCCAAATTTCAGGAAGCTGTCGGTCGACGCGATTGCTTCCTCTTACTCGAGAGCAAAAAACAGAGCTATTTTGTTGGACTATGATGGGACGGTCATGCCTCAAACCACCATCAATAAAGTTCCTAGTCAACAAATCATATCAGTGATTAGTGCATTGTGCGAAGATGCTAAGAATACTGTGTTCCTTGTGAGTGGAAGAGGAAGGGATAGTTTGGGGCACTGGTTTTCAGATTGCAAGAAACTGGGCATTGCCGCAGAGCATGGATACTTTTTGAGGTAAAGACGTCACGTCCTGACTGTCCTGTTTCATTGCAAGATTTTATTCTTATTTTTTAAATACCATTTAAGCAATGGGGGAGAGAGTTTTTCTAATACTTTTTGCAGTGTTATTCATAACTGCCACTTGATACTTGAAACAATCATTAAGAGCCATTTGGTAAACATCATTTGGTTGAAAGAAAAAGGCCATTTAGTGCGTTTAGTATTGAGTGACATTCATATGTGTTACCAAATAAGTAATCAACTGACCTTTTGATCCGGGTGAATTTCGGGAAAAAAGTAGGGAAGATAGATGTAGGGGTGAAAAAGAAATTGTAGTTTACCTGAGGAGAAATAAAACCCCGAAAGGGTATGTTTGGAACCTTGAAAATGCTAGATGTAGAAATAATGGATATGATGAAGATGAAAATTCGAAGGAGTGAAAGGTGAGTGAAAATAAAATACAAGTTCAATCTAATTAAAAAACTATTTTCAGCATATATGTGAGAGCAACAAGTCAGCCAACACTATGTTCCAGCTTATCTATTTATTTATGTATTTCATGTAAAGAATAAGGAAGTCTAAATATACTTCTTTTTCAATAACAAACTAAAATGTATTATGCTTTTTACCAAAATAGAGTTGAATTTGACAGGTGGACAGGTGATGAAGGGTGGGAAACTTGTGGGCAAAACACAGATTACGGGTGGAAACAGATAGCAGAACCTGTAATGAAATTATATACGGAATCTACCGATGGTTCTTCAATTGAGACGAAAGAGAGTGCTCTGGTTTGGCATTACAGTGATGCAGATCTTGGTTTCGGGTCCAGCCAAGCAAAGGAGATGTTAGACCATCTTGAAAGTGTTCTTGCAAATGAACCTGTTGAAGTTAAGAGTGGGCAATTCATTGTTGAAGTCAAACCTCAGGTACCTTCTTACTTTTACTCCAATCCCCCCCCCCATTGGTCTAACCGCAGTTCGCTTATAGATCTAAAGGGGTAGCTGTGAACTTCACTAAATTTTATAAATCTAAAGGGGGTAGCTGCATCTGGGAAGGGATTTGTAATTTAAATATTCTAATGCTACATTCTAAAATGTAATCCTCAGGTTTAAATATTAAATGTCTGGGCGATTTAAATGGTAGGGGTACTATTGTAATCACACATTTTAATATTCATAGTATTTTGAAATTCCGCTAATGAGTATCATTCCAAAAAAATTGTAACATTCATACCAGGAAGACATTATTTTGTAAAGATTTCTCAGGTTTGAAGATTGATGCAAATAGTCAAACAGAGCTTTAAAACTGTCCCCTATTTTATGTATTAATGATTGCTCAGGGAACTCCAAGGTCGAGTTGGCTACATGGGCGTTCCAGGTCACTTCGCAGTGGGCCCATAAAATTTTGAAGTGACCCCGGCCCTCCATCTCCACTGTGGATGCTCACTCATTTAACAGTGTTGTTTTTATCCTCAGAAAAATGGAACCTTCAATTTAGACTACATAAAGAAACTGCCATTTTTTTAATACAAACCATCAGATATGCTTTATTTCTTGACTACCCTGTTACGTCCTCAATCACAGGGTGTGAGTAAAGGTCTTGTTGCAGAGAAGATATTCAGATGTATGGCTGAGGGTGGGCAGAAGGCTGATTTCGTGCTGTGCGTAGGGGATGACAGGTCTGACGAGGACATGTTTGAGGCGATAGGGGCTGCCCTGGAAGGGGGCATTCTCTCCTTTAATTCCTCTGTCTATGCTTGCACAGTTGGCCAGAAACCAAGCAAAGCCAAGTATTATGTCGACGACACGGCAGAGGTCATTAATGTTCTTGAAGCTCTTGCCCAGGAGTCCGGTCCCGTCACACATTCTCCAGAAGTTTCCCCCCAAAGTCGTTTGACGTAGTAGCCACTCACCATTGCTTTCCTAGCTCTCTCACTCAATATCCTAAATACCAAACCGATCTGAATCTCTCTGCAAACGGAATCGTATGGTTAGTTGGAACATTGGTTCTGTAAGCATGCATAGGAAGCATGAAAGTGTATACAATTTCTCTGTTCATTTATTTATTTATCTAGGAAAGGAAATGAGATTTTGTCTCTTTTTTCGGGGGGTTAGGACTGATTCTTGGATGGATTCCGTTGTACAGAAATCTTTCTTGTTTCTATTCATTGTGTTCCAATGCTTCAAAAGTTTCTGGACGTCACAATAAGATAATTTGGGTTAAAGGATACACGGCATACTCTAGCATTTTTAGAGGCCTAGTAAAATAGTACTTAGTATTGAGATGATTTTTTCTTGAATTATTACTTCCTCTGCCAGTTTGTCTCATTCTGTAGCTTACATTTTCTTTTTCCTTTTTCCCAAAAATATAAATATTTTCCTTAGTTTTATACCACTAAGCTGGTGTTTGCACCCCTTCAAGAAGCAGAAGTTGGAGTATTTGGATGAAAGTGCAGAAGTACTTCTGGTGTTCTAATTTAATTCTAAAAGCAGGTTTTTAAAAGCTGGATTCTGATTCTGCTTCTACTTAAAAAAAGAAGTAGAAGCAGAATCAGTTCCAAGCACCCCTAATTCTTTATATTCTACCTTTCACATTTGTCTATTTTTTCACTTATTTATTGTTGCAAAAAAAAATCTCGAATAAGAGTAAAATTTCTCGAATTTTTACCCACTCATTATTTTAGGAGTATATTTGTCATAATTTCTTAAAAAATTATAAGCAATTTAAGTACCTCAAAATTTGGAGGAGTGTGAAGTATAAACACCCCAAAGGCATAGGTAACCGCGCTAACTTTATATTTTACCACAAATATCATATGCTTTTTCTCACATAAATGTACCGTAAATGTATGCTTATGGCGTTAAGTACATAATTTAAAATATTCAAAAGATTTATAAGGATGTTAACATTATGAGCATTGTTCTAAAACTCGCTAGGCGATAGGCGGGCGGTTGAGGGGCGCCTAGGCGGCTGACTAGGCCGATTTTTTGGCCAACTAGGCCGATTTTTTGGCCGACTAGGCATCTACGGTTAGGGCCGCCTAGGCCGATTAATCGGTCCGCCTAAGCCGATTTTTAGAATAATGATTATGAGCTTATATTTGTAAACAAATAATATTACCTCCGTCTATGTAGTTGCAGCCCAGCACATTTAATATGATATTTGGCAACACGACTTTCACCATTAAAATTTTGAAAGAATGACGGATATAATACTTTCACATCAAGAGTTACAAAAACATTTCACGTTTAATCAAACAAACGCTCAAGTTTATAAACGTTGAGGTGTTGATGAATGATGGTTTTAATGAAGTTTGCTTTTCTGTTTGTAGTTATTTTCATTTTAAGTTGGGAGTTTAGACACTCAGATTGTGATGATTTAGGATTTGAAGACAATGGATGTTGATTATTAGGTATAATATTGTTGAGGTGTGATTTGTGAGTGATTATTGTTGAAATGAAAATTTACCTCTTTTCCAATTGAAAACTATTTAAAAAACATGACTGTTGCATTTTCTAAGCTATTGGCATTTAAAAACAGCAGTGCTTCGTAGCAATGTTTTAAAAAAATGGTTGTAATCTTTTTGCCAACAGTTTCTTTTTGTTACTATTGATAGGAACAAATAAAAAAATGTTGTCCTATCTATTTTCAAAAACTGTTCTCTAAGCTATAGTCTACAAGTACGATTTTCCAGTTGTGTTGCCTTTAAATATCAAAACTGTTCCCTAATGTTTAGGCAACGCCTTACATTACCACAATTTTGAAATTGTTGCTAAAAACAAGGGAACATTTTTTTGGCGTAGTGATAGATTCAAAATGTTGTAGTGTCAATTTGACACTTATGTAACTAAAACTATATAAATATTTATGTTTCATTCTTAACTCTTAAGTATTACGATTTTGTGGTGGCTAACCGTGAATCTTTAAATATAAGTTTATCTCCATAGTTTAAATTTGTCTTTATATTCATACTTCGTATCATATAAGTGAATGAACGAAGATATTTCAGAATACAGCCTGAGATCTGACTAATTGACATATTGATAAATTATTGTGCATGATGAATTATCGATAAAGACATAATTTTTATATTATTATAAATAGCTACTTAGTATTTTATGAAAAATTAAGTGTATTAATTACGAAGAGATGGTTAAAATTAAATATGGAATGGTTTTCAGGAAAGTGGTTTTGAATATACTACTGCTACTTGAAAACAACATACAAATATGGTATAAGATTAAAACTGTGTATAGAATATTCATCATAGTTAACAAGAAATAATATAAAGGAATGAGAAAGAAATTTATTTAAATCATCTGCATCGTACGAAAAAAACCATAGACTAGAAAAATACTCCGTATTTCATTTCTAATTTTATACGTAGTATTAATTAATTTGGGTATCATAATTAATTTTATACAATTATTAGAAATGGTTGACAGAGTATACTTCTATATACCCAGGGGTATCATAATTGGCGGGCAAAGGCTTCCAGCCATGCAACAAAACACTTAAGTTTACAGAAGTTTCAGCCGAGGCCGACCTCGACGCACGAGGTCAGGACCAGACACAAGACGGTGAATCAACGAAGTACAAAGATCCAGCTGAGGCCGACCTCGAGCACACCGAGGTCAGCGCCAACATCGAACTCGCAAATCGCCCGGATATGATGAAATATGAGCCCGACCTCGAGCACACCGAGGTCAGTACCAGGTCTGACCTGTGACGATGATACAAGGTCAACTGAAGTCAACAATAGTCAGCAAAAGAATCACCGCTACCGCGGAAAAGACCAGAGATGAACTCTATAATATGAGCTCACCCTCCCCGAGCTCTGACCTCCGGGAGCTCGGGGTCTCACCAGCCAAATGTGGACTTGGACATTTTTAGAGATCAAGTGTAACGCAAGCCACCGCCACATCACCAACACTATACAAAGCGCCACGTCACTCCAGGCTAAATCGCCAAGGAATATTCTGGACAGTACACGTGTAACATGCACGTATGTCCTAGTATAAATCTATTATGCACAGTTCCAATCAGCCATCTGTCCCAGTTATCTCTCGAATCACTTTTACATGTGTCGTCATATTATTAGATTAGTTTGTTTATTTGTTAGGCAGGTGTGCCACGTGTCTTCACCACAATAGAATATCATATTTTTAACTTGTTGGCCAAGTATTTTTTACTTAGTATAAATATCACCTTCTAACATGTGGAAAGAGATCTGAAGTTCTCTATGCAATCTTGTTGTTATGCTGCTGAAATACATACCCAATCTTACTTAGCATTTTTCTCCGTTCTCTCTCTCTCTCTCTCTCTCACACACACACACACACACACAGTCACACACACACTTTTAGGATTCCGATTACCCCTAGGGTCGGCGATCCATCAATGGTAATTAACACAATCTTGTTTCATGTATTAAATTTTATATCACAACTACATAAACTACAATTTTTTGATGGAAAATTACCCTAAATAAGACTAAAAACGTTTGTATATTACAAAATAGGACTGCCATGTTTTTCTTCCCAAAATATGACTAAATATTGTCATGTTTTGGCGATACCAGACTTTAAATTCAATTTATTTACTCATATTTCGGGAATTTTCCCCTTTTTAGTAGAAAAATTCAATTTCATTTATAATTCCTACAACGCACTGATTAGTCGACTAATTTCATATAAGATGGTAAAGATTGGATTAGCGTGGGATGCGAACGGAGACACGGGAAGGGACCATTTTGATCGGATCACAAGCAAGCACGCTAAAACTACTTAATTGATTTAACAAACAAAAGCACATACAACAGCCTTACATGTGAAGCAATGTAAAGCCAACCTTAATAAAGAAACCCAATACAAAAGAGATCATATGGAGAAAAGTGGAGCACCATGTCACGCTTTTTGCTTTTAAACATTTGTTCAAAGTGGAATTAAGAAATGATTCCATGATTAACAATTGTAATAAGTACATGAGCTAATACTTCGTATATGTTTTATACGCATGATCATGTTAGGCAATTTGACCCAATAGACACTTGAGGACACTTGAGAGTTCAGAATACCAAAAAATATGAAAATTATATCAGAAAGTGTGGTAATGTTAGTAATTGGCTGAATAAGTTTTATGTGGTGGAATTGGTGAAATTTTGATTGAAGAGAGTGAATTGACAAAATGTGTTTACTTACGAAAAATGGTATTTAAAATCTATCTAGTTAATAAAATATAGAAAACATGTTAAATAAGAGGAAGTAGTCCAACCTAAGTGGTCTCCGACTATTCTTCCATCCGAGGGGTCTCATGTTCGAAACTTTATAGAGAGAGTTTCAACAAAATTAACCCTAAGCTCCCCCAGCCCCAACCACTCAACGCCCCATTGGGTTCAAAGAAAAAGAAAAAGAGAAAATAAAAAATGTTAGATAGTCATCACCAATTAATTCAGTCAATCCAAACAAAAAGTAACTTTAATCTTACTAACTCTATTGCGGTTTGAATGGAGTACTTAAAAGGGCATCTAGCTAGCGAGAAATTGTACGGAGTGATCATAGCTAGATAGCTTCTTCTTTGGATTAATTTGAGTTTGCGCCCATTTTATTGTCCAAAATTGGACTTTGCACCGCTTTTTTAAAAAAGTTTGTATTTCCACTCTAACCCTGTATTAAAAAACAAAAATACCCCTCGATCGGGAATATGTTGAAGGCCATGAGAATTGTGAATGGGGGAACATTTTTATCTTTTCATACAAAATTGGAGTGAAAATACAAAATTTGAATAATAAAATGGAATGAAAATTCAAATTAGCCTTTGTTCTTTGATATGTGAGGACCTATCCATACCCCCACCCCGCATGTTTACCAAACAAAATCAGGAGTGGGATGGAGAGGGAGGGTCTTTTGAATCTAAATTGCCAACTCAAGTTGTTTTAACGGATGAAAATGGTTTGACCGTCAACTATCTGTACCCAACGGCTATTTTACAAGAGAAATTAAACCAGATAGAAAGTAATAGCTCAAGTAATAAATACTGTACGTTTTTCTTGTCGATCTACCATAGCAGCAATTGAAGAAAATTAGTTGCCGGCGGCGGCGCCCGGAGTGCGGAGCGGGTAGAGGTATACCTGGCTTTGAACCACACTTCTCCCGACATGGAACCCCGGGACAACCGTGAACGCCGCCACCCCGGAGCAAATTTCGCCCCCCGTCACGCTCTCCATGTACACCTCTGAGAATCTAGCCCTCCGCCGCACCTGGAAAATGCTGACTTGCTGTTCCTCACCGCAAGAGAAAGCCAGGCAATGCAAGAGCCAAATTCTCCTCCCCATCTCCGCAAATGCCTTGAAGAAATCCGTGTCCGGGAACTCCCCGGCGTTCACCATCTTCCGTTGAGCCAGGTTCCCCGAAAATGAAAACTCCATCTTCGGATGAACCAGGAGCAGGTATTTGGTCTTCAAGAACCTCCCCAAAGGAGAATAAGAGGGGGGATAATGGTTCACCTCCTGCTTCAGCTTCTTGAACTGATCGAAGAAGAACTCCCCCTGCTGCCGCTGCCCCGCGGAGAAGCAAGGAACGTCAAACCCGTCGAACATCTCTCTGCAAACGAAAGATTCGAAGGCGAAAGCCCTGTGGCTCTTCCTCCCGAACGATACCCCGCCGTGGATAGCAGCGGCCGCTGCTGCGTCAATGTCCCAGCTGGCCCTCTCCATGTCGCGGATTAAGTGTTTGACGAAATTCCTCACAGATCTCATGGCGTAGTGGAGCGCCGTGACGAAATCTTTGGGATTGACCGAATCGGAGAACTTGACGGCGTCAAGAATGGAGGAACTCCCACTGGCACTCAGCATCCTCTCCAGCGACTTGTTGCCGGCACGAATCCCTTCGAGGTCCTTCCGGATTGAGGAAACCAGAGCCCCCTTCCTCTCGATCTCCCCTTGCATTTTCTTCATGGTGATCTCATACGTCTTCATCACGCACTGCTGCTCTTGAATCTCGGAAAGCATGAGGGTGACATGGGGTGGGGAAGAGCCGGCCTGGTTGTTGAGGTACCCGTGCTTGAGGTCAGAGAGGAGCTTGAGCTCACCAACCACAGCTTGATCTGCAGCCTGAACGGCTTCATGGTTGTAATTGGGGAACTGAGACAGCTGCAGCTCAGCATAGGCTGCCTTGAGAGAAGAAATGGTGGCGAAGAGCTTGGCAACCAAGGCCTCCAGCACAGCCTTGTTTCTTGAACTCTCTTTGCATTCCTCTATCTCTTCTGTGCCCAACAGCTCACAGCACTTGAACTTTTCTTGGGGAATGAGAAGGCAAAACGCATTCTTAGCAGAAGAAGAAGAAGAAGTCTTGAGGTGAATGAGCTTGCGAAAAGTCCTGGCCAGAAGGGTCCTGTTTGGAGCTGGGCTGGGTCGGATGGACTCCATTCCCATCTATGAGGAGGGGTTGATTGGAATGTGCGACTTAATTTTTGGGTGTGCGGTGTGGAAATAGCAGCGAAGCCAAATAGAGAGAGGAAAAAAGGCGGTCGATCGGGGGCTTGAGTGCGTAGCAGCAAGCTAAGATGTACCCACTACTGCCCTTTATGGTGGCAGTAATGCATTCATACCTTTGTGCAATCATATCAAATTTTCTTTCAAAAAAAAGAGTATCATATCAAATTATCAACAAAACTCTGGTGTCGATCCAAGGATTTTTTTTCTTTTTATATATACAAAAATGCTTCTTGTACCCACTCATTGTACACACTTTGTACACGCTATATAAAGGCATTTTTTTTACCGTTCATTACCCTGCATCTCTCTTTTTCCCTCTTCCGTTTCTCATTGTCGTTTCTTTTCTTTCTCTCGCTCCCTTCCCCAAATCCCTAGTCGGGAAAAATAATTAAAATACCCTAAACTTTGAAGGGGTGTGAGATGAGCACCCCAAACTTGCATAAGTAATTTAAATACCCCAAACTTTGTATAAAAAGTTATTTTAGCACCATAGTCAAGTATTATTTTCTTCAAAAATGTAAATTTATGTTGTTAATTGTATAATTTAAAATATTTTAGAATTCATGAATACACAATCAACATTCTAAACTTTCATATTGAAATAAATAATGTTACCCACAATCTATATAATTGTAAAACTTTTAATTTGCTATTGTAAATTGTGCAATTTACCCCATAAATTTACATTTTTGAAAGAAATAATACACGACGATGGTGCAAAAATTACTTTTACATAAAATTTGAGGTATTTAAATTACATGTGCAAGTTTGGGGTGTTTACCTCACACCCCTTCAAAGTTCGGGGTATTTTTATTATTTTTCCCTCCCTAGTCCGACATAGCAAAGCTCCTTCCCCGTCGTTACCTGTCCTCACCGCATTCATTTTCGTCACTCTTCTTCATCTACGCCCGCCTTCAGAGTCATCTTCCTCACCCAACAACATTGTGCACTCGGGTAGGAGAAGCTTGAAGACCAATGAATGGTGCTCTTGCGGCTCGAACTGATGCACATGGAAGGGATAGAGATGGTCTGCTTTGAATATACCAATGAGCAGCCACATTTTTCATTGTAAACTTCAACCTGCGTTTTTCCTTGTCTTGTTCATTCAGTTTATTGTACATTTAGGATTATACTCCGTATTTGTTTATTTCGATCTTATGTATATATGTAAATGTTGAATGCTTGATTACATTGGTATATTGTTATAGATTTGTGATAAATTTGTGATGCTCATTATTGAAGTCTTAATTCAAAATATTATATTTCACTTTCATGCACAAACGGTGTTTGTAGAAATGATTCAATGATTTTTCTATTGATATCCACAATTTATGTGCTCATTGTCCTTCTGTGTTAATTTCTTTTACTATTTTAGTTTATTATCATTAATTTTATATTTATGTTATTGCGATATTATATAAATAATGTTCATACATATGCGGTTCTTTTCAAAAACTTTAATTCAATTAAATGTTAGGTTTGAATATGACTTGTTAATTGTGGAAGCTCCTAGGTTATAGAGTTCATTGATTCTTTTATAGTTTCTGAAAAATGCTTGAGGTCATTCCTTATCTTACACGTGCCTAAGAGAATTGAAAAGTTAGAACTTGAAACTTGGATGAGTTGAACTTAAGCTTGATTCTTCAGAATTCCTTGTTTTACAATGCACTTGATTTTATATTTACTTATGTTAATTACACCCAGGGTTCGAAAATTGTACTGAGAATGATAAGTGTGAATTGTTCATCCTTGTCATCAGGACACTAATCTAATTCTAGTCCTTGTAATAGACAGATGATTAGGCTTAATGTTGCCAGCAAATTATGTAGAATCATTCTTTGATGATTCATCTCCTAGCCAACTATTATAAATAGAGTGTTCAATCTTTTGTAAATGTAATTCACAAAACTCAGAAATCTTGATATCAAGAAGTATAATTTAGAGCTTATTATTCATATATCTATCTCTTTAATCAATTCTGCATCTTCTTTTTTTTCACAACACATACTTTATTTTTATTTTGTCTACGTACTGTTAATTGAATTAATTGGTTTCAAGGTGTCATTTTAACTCCTTTTTTCTTTTCGTTCTCCCCTTTTCTTCTTCCGACTTAGCCTTCTTCATATGGCTTTCCGGCTTAACCTCCTTTCTTCTCCCTCCCATACGGACTTCATCTTGTTTCATAAGGCATTCAAACTTGTGTACTCTGTTTCATAAGGCATTCAAATAATTTTGTGAAGTTAACTGGGCAGTTTATATGTATGAACTGCCCAGTTAACTTCAAGAAATTATTTGAGTGTCTTCCCGATTGAATTTTTAGTTGAAATTTGGTATGGATAAACTAGACTTCATGAAGAACATGCTCAAAAAAATTCATCAAAAAATTCTACCGGGAAGTGCCCGAAATGCCCTCGGCCGGACGGCGGTTCCCGTCAGGCCGGCTGGACATGAAAAGTCCTCTATATATATATATAGGGTGCAGTCGTGCAAATCTAATAAAAAGAGATCTTAACGTGTAAAATGCAAAATTTTCACTTTTTAAACGTTTTGATGCACTTTTGTGTTCATGTAGTGCATTTTTTTCACACTTGTAAGAAAGTTCGTTTATTTACTAAATTGCCACCGTCATTTTTTTAAAAAAAAGAGCATTTTGTGCAAATGTGAAAAAGTGCACTACGTGTCTACGTGAATAGAAAAGTGCACCAAAACGTTGAAAAAGTGAAAATGTTGCATTTTACACGTTAAGACCTCTTTTTATTTGATTTGCACCCTATATATGTGTGTATATATATATATAATGCCCAAAATTAAGGTTAATAGAGATTTCCATTTATAACCGGGACATCCCTTTCATATTCCTTTCATATTCCAATGCATACAAATTGGCCACTATGCAGAATACAAGTGTACTAAATTACAGGTGATGGAAAAAATAGTAGAAGGAAGGAGGAGCAAGAGAAACACTTGAATGTAAATCCACTCCCTTCCATTGGGATAGTAATAATAACAATCATCATAATAATAATATGTTAAAAGTATATCATGAGGCATAAAGTCATAAACGCCTAACACTTGAATGAACCCCGATCAGATAACGATTAGTAATGCCTTCCACACCAACTAATGGAATACAAGGGAGCCAAAATCACTTAAGCACAACCATCTTCTGATTCTGCAACATGAATTGATATGTTAGAATGCAATCAGAACAAGAAAAGATCACTTAACAATGGTAAATTCAGTCGGTCTAAGAACTTGCATTCTAGAGACACGATCACATGGTAATTAACATGATGCACCAATTGCAGGCATTATCATTATCACTTGAATCCCAACTAAGGACGTGGTTATCCTAGACGTATTTCAATCATATTCTAGACCAGGGCTAGCACGGAAAATATTACAACAAAAAGCAATCCATACCCAACTTCAACTAATTACGAGGCCGGCAAATATCATTCCGAGAAAACATATCCTCAGTTGGAGTTGCTTTATCAATGCTTCTAAAAGTCAGTTTGGCAAAAACTAATATGAATCGACTTCTGGAAGTATATTCCAGTTTTGAACCACTAGTTTGAGTTTTTTTCATTCTAAACACCATGTTTGGTTTACATTCCAAACAACTTCTACTTTATCAAACTCACTTTTTCAAGAAGGTATCCACACATAAATTAAACTTAATTACACTAAGTAAATTTTACTGAACTAACTTTTGAAATATGAACTTCCAGTGAACTGATTTTTGGTTAACTGTGGATGAACACACACTACAATTAGTTATGTGCCGATGCTAAATGAATATTGGAAAAATCACCATCGCACATTATGGATAACATAACTTCAATGAACCCATATATTGCTATAGACCAGTGACGGATCAAGCAAGAAACAATTGGGTGTTCAAATCATTTTAAATAATAATATTGTTTGACCCAACAATTTAAAGAATACTATTTGGTTTAACAACAAAATAAATAGAAAATATTGTTAAAAGTAAGAAATAATATATAAAAACACAGCATATGAATTATTTCATCAATTATATACATATGTTTTTACATTTTTTGTTCAAACTTTTGGGTGTTCATGTGAACACCCTCGAATAGAGTGGCTCTGCCACTTCTATAGACGTACAAGATAATACTTAGAAGAGTACCGTGTATTGCTTGATTGCTTCCCTGTCCGACACATGACCGTAATGAACCCATATAGATTATATAGACATAAATGTAATGTTCAGAAGAGTACCGTGGATTGCTTCCATGTCTTCCTTGTAAACCCCGAGGGGGGAACCATGTACTGATAAAAGCATCTCCCCGTGTTTGGGAAACCTCAACGTTTTTGGTGTCGTACCAACAGATAACCGGTTGTTATGTACCTGGAACTAAACCATGGGTAAAGATGATGGTCAGATTGTGTGGCTGAGGTAAAATTGTTTACACCCAAAGGATAATAGCACTTCATCACATGTAGAAGCTAGTTTTCTGTCAAGTCCGGAAGTTTCACAACAGGAATTGAGAACTCTGCTCCTTTGCTTTACCAGATATCTTCCCCATTTTTCTGTGTTGGGCACAGCAAAAGCATTTTTATTGGCTCTTTAGACTTGTGTGGAAAATGACTCCCCGTTTTGAAAATGAGGGGTCACTTTCCTGAAACAGATTTATATTTTCTACTCCCTCCGTCCCGAAATTAACCTCCGGGTTTGACTTCACGGGTTTTTAGGTGGCAAAAAAAATGACTTTTAAGAGTACCTTTGCATGGTAAAGAAAAGTAGTGGTCCAAATTAATTAAAAGAGGTAAGTGAATAGTAAAAGTAAAGGGTAAATGGGTACTTTGAAAGCAAAAACTTACCAAAAGTAGAAATAAAATAAAGTAGGAAGTTAATTTTGGGACATACCAAAAAGGAAAGGTGTAAGTTACTTTCAGGATGGAGAGAGTATTTTTGTGTGTTTCAAACAGATTTATGTTGTCTGTTTTTCTCTTTCAACTTTCAAACATTAAATTATACATAGAACAACTCACGTTCAAGGAAAAACTTCTAAAAGAAGACTTTCCCCACAAAAAGTTGCCCGAAAAATGTATTCCACAGCATTTGACTTTCCTTGGAACAAAAAGAGCCTTCTTATCAAATTTACAATGTAGTGACTGTGATTGTAGTGACTATGATGATATACTCATAGTAATATTGGTCACATTTTATCCATCAATTTTGTATCAATTTGGAAAAAACTCAAAGAAAAGCACCGCAAACAATGCGTGTTTGCTTAAAGATAATACCAGGTACTTACTGCT